GATTGGCAGAAAGACAGAGAGAGACAGAGAGACAGAAAGTGAGAAAGCCCTCCTCAGGGGGGATGGCCATGCCACAATCCCTTCTCCTCCATTGCCCTCCTGGGATCTTGGGCATGCACGCACACGCGCCCAGTATGAATTCCAAGGCCCCGGGTCTGGGATTCAAACTGCGGTCAGCCATGTGGAAGCCTAGTGATGTAACCACCATGCCATCTGCTGGCCCCAGCAACTGCACTTTCACATGGTGAAGGCCAGTGGTGATGCAATGAGTGCATGGAACCACACTGGGCCGTCTGGGATAGGCTGCCCTGGCAGGTAAAGTGCGGTTTTACTCAGCAAGCCTTCCAGGTAGAAACATCAGAGACAGAGGCCGCGGCTCACAGATTTTCTCAAAAATGTTTTTGCCCTTGTTAAAAAAATTTCTATTACTAAAACCACCCCAACTTTCTATACCACATATTCAGCAAATGTTGATTAGACCTGGCCCTCTGCAGGCCAACTGCATTCAACCCTATAATGCTAGATACAGGGGTCTTCCAAAGTTCATGGAAAATGCATATATATATATATATATATATATAAACTATATATATATATATAAACTATGCATGGATTTCAGAAGATTTTTGCACCAAAACAAACTCGTACTTTAAGAAAAGTTTTATTTCTCCCATGAGAGAGAGACAGCATGCTAACTGGCTCCTGATACCATGATCCACTACCAGCTTCACCCAGGTCCAGGTCATGGGCACCTCTGTGCCCAGCACACCAGGGAGGTCTCAGGATATGAACCCAGAACCTTCCCATGTGGGTCTGACCTGCAGAGCACCACAGTGTGCCACTGCACCACCACCGGGCCCCCGAACTCCTATTTTCACTGTGGTTTCCCACATCCTTTTTGAGTCCCCTCACAGAGCTGTGCGTGGCCGTGTGTCTGTCTTTGCGCACGTAGGAGACACGTACCACCTCACGACACTCTTCACTCTGCAGCTCTGCGGAAGCCAGGCGAATGAAGTTTGTTTGCAAATTTCTAAATTTTCAGAGCCTCAGGGTCTTGTTACTAAAAGACCCTGTGGTATAATGAAGCCCCTGACAAGTTTTACTGACCCAAGCTGTCCCACTTCCATTTCCTTGATGTGGAGGAGAGCCATGCCTCCAGGCCCAGGGCAGGGCCCCTCAGCTGCTCTATCAGGGGAGTCCATTAAACAAGGGGAGCCCCCCAACCTCCCCTTCCTTTGTGGTACAGATTTGGGGTCACGCTCAGTGCTCCCTTGCTGTTTGCAAGGACAGATGTTACTGTGGGAGGTTTCACAGCCTCACAGGAAGAGCCAACGTTTGTTTTCTTAGCTCCCTTCCTTCCTTCCAGAACCATCTTCGACGCCCCTGTCAGGTGGGAGGAGCCTGGCGCTCTCTCACCGGCCCCTGGGGCCCAGGCCTGCCTACCCGCTCCCTGGCTGGCTAGACGCTCTGACGTTTGCTTACGCTGCACTCAGGGTAACGCTCTGTCACAACCAGCGTACTTGGTTTGCACGTGTCGCACGTTGGACAAGAGCTCCCTGCAGACAGCAGACTTCCCGTGGGCCGGTGTTACGCCCCCTTCTGCTTTTCCGCATCTAGTCCCCTGCCCCACCCTGTCCTCAACACCCCCTAGGAAGTCCCACCAGAGGACTGGTTCAGGCCCCACCGGTGGAATTCATGTGCATTTGTGAGCCCTGGCAGGGCGAGCTGCCTCCACACCCTCACGCCTGTGTTTCTCCTCCCTTTCAGGTGCCGAGCCCCTTTTCCATGACCTGGATAGTGACGACACCTCCCTCAGTAACCTGGGTGACTGTTTCCTAGCAACCTCGGAAGCCGGGCCCCTGCAGTCCAGAGTGGGGAACCCCATTGACCACCTGTACTCCATGCAGAGCTCTTACTTCACCTCCTGAGCCCCCTGGAGCTCAGCGCCAGGCTCCTCTGCGGGACCGCCTCACTCAGTGAGAGGTCGCTGGCTTGACGCCGGGAGCCCAGGGAGGAGAGGGGCTGGGGAGGGCGTTTGGTCGGGGATGCTGTTGTTTAAGGATGTGGGTAGCTCAGCGTTTCTGAGGACTGAACATTACGGATTGCATAGTTTAATGTTTCTAATACGAGTCTTAGCGTTAGATAGGAAGATGTGTTTATCAGTAAGGACAGGGACTTTGCAGATAGACATCCTCATGCAGACTAGAAACCTAGGGACCCCTAACAGCTTCCCACAGCTTTGGGGAAGCGCTCTTGAGAGGTGTGTTTGTCTATCCACCTATCCGCCCACAGACAGACAGACAGACAGACAGATAGCTGTATGTGTGAGTGTAACCTTTCAGACTTTATCATCGAAGTTTATTCCTGCTTATAACAGACACCAACTGTACAGCAAAAGTAACTTTATTTTCAGTGTGAACTATATTTAAGGAAATGCTTGATGCACTTAAGTTATAAAATGAGATAATTTACTTTTATAAACTTTATTTTTAGTTTGAAGAGACTTGTCAGCAGGACGAGGAGGGCTGTGGCAGCGGGCCCCATCACTCTGCGTGCTTGATTGAGTTCGTTGTTCTGTCCGAGTGCCGTTGGGGTCTGGAAGCAGCCCTGGGTGGCTGACAGGTTCTCTCGTGGAGCTCTGCTTGTTGGCTCCCTGGGCTTGGGCGGGTCAGAACAATTCCTGAGCGTATTCTCAGAAGATGCCCAGCCCTGCCCCCTGGGTGTACTGCTCTACCCGGACGTGTGGCTGTGTGGGGAGCGCTGGTTTTGCTCTAGAACGTGTGTGTCTGCAAGTGTGGGTGAGGTGGACACCATGCACCTACCCTGCCGGGGGCTTAACTCACCCCCGGAGCACATGAGCAGGACAGAGGCCAGGGTCCCATACCTGTTTAAAGCACAGCCAGACCACTACCTTGGCCAAGGAGGGCCCTTCCCCCAGAGCCCCTCTGCAGGCTGGGTTAGCAGAGGTGCAGCTCAGGGCAGCTCAGGGGCTGTCAGAGCCTTCCAGTGGGAGGAGGCCGAGGCGGAGCTGAGGGTAGGGGAAGGCGCGTGGTGTGCTAGAGCAGGGGTCGGTCATTTAGCACCCGCAGGCCTACTGTGTACAGCCTGCCCGCTCAGAATGGCTTTTACAGCTTGAAAGGGTCATTTTGAAAAAGAGGAGACTGCATGGCAAACCACGAGGCCCAGAGAGCCCAGTGGCTTCACTCTCTGCACCCTCAGGACAGTGCTGAGGGTGGCTTCTCTGGCAGTCTAATTCTAAGCAGCCTCCTGGGCTCATCAAGGCAGAGGGGTCTGGGTTGGGACCTGAGCTCTTCCTCCTGGCTCACGTTTGTGACCCTGAGCACAGAAGACCCAGCAGCCATGGTCCATGGGCCGGTTCCACACCTGCTCCCCGGCGTGACGCTAGGATGGCTCCTCCTCTGCTTGGCCGTCTCCTGGGAAGCCGGCGTGGGTGGAGGGACAGGAGTTGGCTCGGGTTCATCTGAGAGGGGCCAAGGCCCGCTTGGCTTCCCTCCTGGGGATGCTTCAGAGCCTTGAGTACAGTGACACATGCCCTCACTCCCTGCAAGGCCAGAGGGAGCACAGCCCTGCCGGCAGCGTGCGTTGTGTGATTTTTGTGTTCTTGTTCGTGGTCGCTGCGAACTACCCGGGAGCCCAGCCCAGCGTGGTGAGGGAAACTGATGCGGCCGCTCCAGGCACGCAGGTCTCTGTGACAAAGATCGGGGAGAGTGTAGCAGGTTCTGTGAGTGAAAATGAGTAGAAATCCTTACTGGCATACCAAGATGACATGGAAAAGAAAGCTCTTGTGCATGAACTGTGGTTTATTCAGGGGTGAGGTTGCAGGGCGGGGACCCAGGGGCGTTTCTTCCGTGAGCTGTAGGATGAGCTCAGGCGAAGCTGTGAGCAGAGAGAAGAACGACACGAGAAGGGTCCCTAGCCTTCCGAGGGGGGCCACTCCATGGCCGCCGAGGTCACTCGTGGCACGCATTGCATGAACCTCCGGAAGCCAGAGCACAGTGGTGGGGCAGGAGGGACGTGTCTCACGTGGGGCTGAAGGCTGGAGTCGAGGGGGCTGAGCAGCAGTAGGATCATACATATTTTTAAAGATGTTTGCCACATGGCACCAGCACTCCCCGGAGAGGGTGAAACCTACCTCCTGTCCCGGGGGCGGCGGACCTCTGCCACCACTGCCTGATGGGCCCCCCACCCTCCATGGGAAGGCTCTGGAAGCCACTCGCCTCTGATTCGGGGTGGGAAGGGTACAGTTGCCAACTTGGCTGGTCCTTCCAGCCCCTGACTCGTGTATTCATTCACCATCGGAGTCTCCTGTAGACGTATTTCTTGAGCTCTGAGAATATTCCGGATTCTGGGGTAGGGACTGGAAATACGGAGGTGAGGACGTTGGCTCTGCCTCATCAAGGTCACAGCCAGCAGAGGCTGCGGCTGAGGGTGGAGGGAGGCCGGTGGTGCCCCACAGCAGGAACCGGCCATCCGTGACCTGCAGGCCTGTCCAGCAGCCTGCCAGCTCAGAATGACCTTACCCTTGCCATTCATCAAGAACTCCAGTAGTGGATGCTAATACGGTTGTTAAGAGCCACAGAAGAGAAGGCTTCGGGTTGGATGAGAGTAGAATGCGGGCAGGAGTGGCCTAGACAGGAAGGTCAACAAAGGTTTCAGCCGGGCGGTAGTGCGGGGGTAATGCAGCCAGACTCACATGGGAAGGGTCTCGGTTTTGTGTCTTGGGACCACCTTGATGCAAGCCGACTGGAACTGGGGGTGAACTATGGCGTGAAAACCCTGCTGGGAATGACACCCTCCCCCCCAACCCCCAACTAATAACCTAAAAAGAAAATTACTTTGAGCAAGTGACGCTGGAACTGGGATTCTCTGTACCCCCTGTGGCCTCCGTCCGCAGGCAGTAATTCCTGGAGCCCCTTTGTATCGTCTTATCTGATGAAGAATCCAGAGGGCAGTGCTCTCTAAGCGGCACTGATAAGCTCTAACGAAGTGTCTTAAGGTGCAAAATGTCCTCGGAATCCCCAAACGGGCTGCTGTCGCTCAGTTGATTAATAAACATGTGTGTTAAGCCTTGAGCATGTGTCTCTTCCTCGTGGCCGGCCAGCACTACCCGCTCTGCTTCTAGGGGCATCACCCTGAGTCCTCTGGGGACTCGGCTCCTCCGTGTGCGTGGTCCTTGTGGCCTGGGCTGCTGTCACCAAGGAGCGGGGCACAGAAGAACGCTCAGCCTGCCACTTCCTCCCAGCACTTAAATCCCGTGGATCTGATGGCGTGGCCCACGCTGGAGATGAGGTCGGAGTGGGCTCATTTCCAGAGAAACTCTGATGAGACTCTCAAACAGTTCCTCTGGCCTGGACTCTGGAGCTGCCCTGTACCCTGTCTGTCCCCAAGACTGGTCTCTGACCCCCTGTGACCTGTGAGCAATCTCTCCTGCTACTCCAATAAAAACTGCATTTTGCTCAAGTCAGCTGAAATTGTTGGTTTATGTTGCTTGCAGTCAAACGCCCTGACGGCACTGGGGGTCACTTTTGGTGACAGTTACCATTGAACAAGAGCGGTGTGTGCGTGTGCACGTATTTCTCGAAGCACCATGCTGGATGCGGTCAGGCAGGTGTTCACTCATTCTGCAGATGAGCAACCTGGAGCTCAGAGAGGTTAAGTGCTTGCCCCAGGTTGCAGAGCCGGTAAGGTCAGCGCGGGCAGCTCGTGGTCTTGCCTGGCCATCCGTCTCCTGCTTGTTCTCCAGCCCTGGTTTCTCGGAGGCAGGGATGTAGGAGCCTTAGGAGCACGGGCGCACCCAGGACGGAAGACAAGCTGGGGAGAAGTCACACTGTCCTTCCTGCCGCCAAGAAGGCTGAGGAGTCCAGGCGGAGGTGAAAGATGTACACGTGAAGCTTTTTAATTTAAAAACTTTGTTTGCCATAGGACGCATGTGCTTGCCAGAGAGAGACAGGGACAGAGAGAGAAAGAGGGAAGGTGAGAAATCACACCCCCCCGAAGGGATGGCCATGCCACAATCCCTTCTCCTCCATTCTCTTCCTGGGATTTGGGGCACGCACACTCTCATGCCCAGGGTGATCTTCAAGGCACCAGGTTCAGGACTCAAACTGCAGTCAGCCCTGTGGGAGTCCAGCACCTTGATCACCATGCCACCCACTGGCCCGTGCACGTGAACATAGCACAGATGTTGATACCTGCCCGGTGTCAGATTACAGGCATAGATAAGAGGGTGCTGTGGAAGTTCAGGAAAGAGAGCTTACTGGAAGGAAGGAAGGGAAGAAGGGGCTTTTCCACAAGAACACAGAGGCTTGGGCTTCCAAAGGTGGGCAGAATTTAGATAGGCAGAGAGGAGAGAGGACATTCTACAGGAAAGGGCCTGCGTGCGTGTTAGGAAAGGCCTGGAGGGAGGGCAGGTCTGTGTGTGTGCAATGCAGACCATTCCGGCCAGATGGCGTTGGCTCATGGTGGTTGAGTGCGTTGATGGTGGCAGAGCTGGGCACACGGGCTGTAGCCAGTGGTTCTCTAAGCCACATCAAAAGGCACTCCATTTCGAGTAGTGGCTGAGGTTGCTGGTCATTCCTCATCATCTGCTCTCTGCTAAAATAATACCCTCCACTTTTACCCGGTGCAGGTTACTCATAAAACCTGCATTTCGCATTCTCCATTGCAGCTAAGTGTTCTGAGCAGTGAGACAAGGAGAAGTGTTGTATGGCACCTTTGAGGTACCCTCCTTAAAAGGCAACTGGCATGTGCCCTCTTCCTCCTCTATGTCACGTCTATCTCCTTAGCTGGAATGCAGATGTGATGACAGGAGCTGGGGCAACTACATTAGGCCATAAGCTTGACTTACAATTGGAGGCCACACATGGGGAAACGACAGGGTGGAAGGGGCCTGGATTCCGGAGGGCTC